GTACATGATGTTGAGGCCGCTGACTCCATCCATCAGTACCTTGGTGAGCCGCTTCGTGCTGATGATTGGGGTCGACCACGAGCGGATATCTCCCTAGATGTGGGACGCTCTCCGGGTGGTCGGTTCGATCAAAGGTTATGGCGGACTCCAACCATCAGAGGAAGGTAGGTGCGGCTGGCTTAGCCGTATAGACCTCGTGGCGCGCGAGCTTCTGGCGGCGCTTGGAGTCATAGGCCGTCGACCCTCCGAAGATCATGAGGCAACCATCCAGTGTCGGAAAGCCACCATCCTTCTGCTCGGCGTCGTCCGTGGATGGCTTGGGGTCCTTCCTATGCTCCCCCTTGTTGGAGCCTCCGGACAAGAACCACTTCATGAGACTGCAGTCCTTGTATAGATGCTTGACGGGGAAAGCATGGTTCAGGCATGGTCCTTCGAGAAGCTTCTTAAAGTGGTCTGGGGTGCCCTTGGCGGGCTTTTGACCACCCTTGCGGTCGGCGGTGGCCACGAGTGAGCCCTCGCACCGCTGCTTGTTCTTCTTCTTGCTGGGACGGCTAGAGGCGCCTTCGTCGGCGTCCTCTTCCCGCTTTGCCTTGCCCTTGAGGCAGTCGAAGATCGCTCTGACCGCCTCCTCGCCCGAGGCGTGGCTGGTGGTGATGTCGAGGAGCTCCATGGTGGTTCACGGACCCTTACATCCCAGCTTGTGAACTAGGGACTCACAGGTGGTCCCAGACAGGAAGGCTCCTATGACGTTGGCGTCGGTGACGTTAGGTAGCTCGTTGCACTGCTGGGAGAAGCGCTGGATATACCCACGAAGAGTTTCCCTGGCCTTCTATCGGTAGTTTTTGAGATCCCATGGGTTCCTAGGATGCGCGTATGTGCCCTGGAAGTTTCCTATGAAGATCTCTTTCAGGTTCACCCAACTTTAGATTTTATTGGGCGAAAGGTGTTCCAACCACGTTCGCGCCGAATCGGCCAGGAACAATGGAAGGTTGTAGATAATACAATCGTCATTATCCGCTCCACCGGCTCGGCAAGCAAGCCGATAATCCTTGAGCCATAGTTCGGGGTTCGTTTCCCCAGAGTATTTTGGGATGTTGGTCGGTGGTCGGTACCGTGGTGGAAAGGCGGTGTTGAGGATGTGTCGGCCAAAGGCCTGAGGTCCCAGCAAGTTGGGGCCCGAGCTTCGGTCCTCTCCGATGTTGTAGCGTCCACCACGACGAGGGTGGTAGCCGTGGCTGGCCCCCTCCCTCGCGTCGCCATGGGAACGCCTGTGGGCATCGAGGGTGTCACGGGCGCCACGGTTGCGGCCGAGACGCTCGTGCACTAGGACCGCGGTGCGCAGCCTGTCGTCTCGCTGCGCCTAGTGGACTAACACGTCCATGTTGGGTTGCTTTGAGGGCGTGCGCTGGCTGGCGTCGAGCTCACGTCGTCGGGATAGCGAGCTCTCAGCCTGTTATGCCGCCGCACGCTCGAGTAGCTTGTGAATCTCATAATGGGCCCGACAATCCTCGGGCGTCGTAGGGCCCGGAAGCCCCCAGAGCAAGGCCATCGTAGCAGTGATGTTCTGGCTTGCCTAGGTAAAGTGTGGGAGGGCTTCATCGTCTTCGATGATCCTCTGGTTCACGTCGTGGGCCATGGCCCGCACGCCCGCCGTCTCCGTGGCGCTCGATCTCTTGCTCGAGCTCCACGGGTTCCTGCTCGAGCTAGATTCATGCTTCCTCAAGCTTTTCATCCCCGGCCTTCAGCTGCTCCACCCACAGGTGAGGTGGGGCCCCTGCATCCCTCTCGACCTCATCGTCGAGGTCGTTCATTGGGGTAGCCTCTCCCTCATGGATGCTTTCGACGTGTCCCTCGGGGGTACCTGCCACGAAACATTCATGAGAAGGGTGATGGCTCCCCCCGCTGGAGTCAGAGTCGTAGGGCGACCCCGATTCTCCTGCGAGGAGGTCATGGAACGATTCTGCGACATATTCGGTCATCCCCACTAACTCATCGTTCACGAGGGATGGAGGCATGCGTTGGGCCACAAGGTGGCCAACGGTCTCTGCAGTGTTGTGGAGACCGGACGGGAGCGCTATCGGGGCGCTTCGGATGAGGTATTCTGGGGAGAGCGGCTCTCCTCCGGCAAGCTACGTCATGACGTTGGCGAACAAGAAGGTGAGATGGTGCAAGTCCTCTCGGGATGGTCGGGGTCCTAGGAAGGCGCCGAGCTGGCGCTCTAACCTCCCGTAGTCGAAGCCGAGGAGCTGGTCGCTCCCGGGGACGCGGGCCTCCGGTGCGCGCAGCTGTAGCTCCTCAAGCGCCTCAGCGATCGCGTCAAGGTCAGCAGGGTGGAGAGGTTGGAAGGCGGTGGGAGCCTGCACCAACCCTCCCTCCATCGTAACGATGAAGTCTAGGTTCCTGAAGCGCATGTGCGCGCCCAGGACCCAGCTGACGCCGTGACTAGCCATCCGAGACCTGAAGTGGACGTCGAGACGCGCAAAAGGTCCCTACTTGGCACGTCAACTGTCGGTGTTTCGAACCACCGATGAGTAAATTTGTATTTACGCGTCAGGCTCGGATGGTGTGCTTAGATAACACGAGGTTTATACTGGTTCGGGCAGAAAGTTTCTACGTCCAGTTCGTCGCTGCTGCTCGTGTTACTAGCACTGAAAGCTTGTAGTAGGGCGTACAAATGGACGAGAGAGGGAAATGATCCCAAGTCTCTGGTGAAAGAAGTGAACGGGTGCTGAGTGCTCGATTGATGCTCAGCCGAGTGCTCGTGCCGTGCTTCTTGTGTCGATCTCGATTGATCGGTTTTAATCGGATCGGCCCCCCTTCATGGGACTCCCTCCTTTCCCTTTTATAGGCCAAGGGAAAGCACGGGTTACAGTGGTGAAAAAGAGAAGAACGAGAGAGAGAGAAGAAGAAGTCCTTCATGATCGTCGGGTCCTTGTTATCCTTCATGCGGGTCTCGTCGACCCTGTAGATATCAACAGGGACAGCTCCGCGTCGCGGCCCTGTCTGTTACTGGCGCCATGCGCAGGCGTCGTCTGCCGGTCATGGCGTTCCATTCTGTCGCAGCGGACGTCGTGGTGAGCTGACGCGCCTGTCAGCGTTCGTACGGGGGTTAGGCAGAACAGCACAGGTACGCCCGATGTTGTTCTTGATGTGAATCCTCAGGTATGGCCCGTCATGGCCATGGGTTACATCGAGGCGTGCCGGTGTCTTCCTTGGTGTCAGAGTTTTGACCCAGGCCCATACGTTTGGACCTAGAGTGGTTGGCGGTGGTATGGGTCCCCGTCAGGCGAGGCGGAGCCCGCCCCCAGAGGTCGGGCGAGGCGGAGCACAAACCCCAGGGTCGGGCAAGGCGGAGCCCGCGGCCTCGGGGTCGGGCGAGGCGGAGCCCGTGGCCTCGGGGTCGGGCGAGGCGGAGCCTGTGGCCTCGGGGTCGGGCGAGGCGGAGCCTACGGCCGGCCTTGGGGTCGGGTGGAGCTGTAGTCGCGCTCTTGACTGCTCGAATGAATCAATATTGATGGTCATTAGCTTCTCCTCTTCGGGTACCCTAGTATTGGTCCCCGATAACTGATTTAGCGATGCTCGGTTTACTTTTAGTACTCATGATTCATTTTAGGATTATTAGTAATTATTATTACAGTCATAAAGCCTGAGAAGTGAACTTTATCCTCTATTGGAAACATCTTGTTGGAAACAAGGAAGGCCATTCCTGCTCTGTCTGGTTGATATGGATCTAAGCAAGCAGTATATTCATCCATCCAACCAACTGGGACCAATTCGATTAACAAAATAAATTTAGCTAAAAGAAATGTTAATATGACATGTTAGACCTTTTTTCTCCTTTCAGCAAGAGACTCCTTATCTTTGATAAACAAGGGGGGGTCCTCAAAGGAAAATATGAGGGCGGTTTCAGAGTGCAATTGATATCAGAACCTTTCTAGTAAAATCGCATCATGATATTCCTTTTTTTTAAGTGCTTTCTAGATAAAGAGACCTTTTTCTTAAGCAGAGTTGTTTGCATTAGAAATCCTTTCATATATGTTTGGTGGGAGCCAGGGAGGAATTCTCAGAGTTGGCAAATGTGCGAGTAGTCCAAGATAGCAAGTTTCTTTTAGTAGTCAGCTATAGATAATTGACTTTGACTAACTTCCAATTTGTCAAGACTTTCCAAATTGCTTCCTAGAAATTATGCAGCTTAGCTGCAATAGAAGAGCCGAATGATATGTGGTTTGAGTCCTCATAAAAAATCCAATTACATTCTGCAGCAAAGGGTTACTTAAGCTTCTGAAATACTATTGTCTTGTATCAACCTCACATTTCTCCCAGCCCAACACGATCTGAGTATGACTTGGCATTCGACTGGATGCTTCTTGGGGAAAAGAAAGACAATCATTTCAGAATACTATTGTCTTGTGTCTCACATTCATGCATTAATTTGTGTGTCCAATCAGTTTGTAGAAGCACAAAGAAGCCAGGAAAGGTTTGCAAGTCTAGGCAGGCAATAGTTCTAAGCTAGAGGTACCAGGCTGGTTCTTGTGCCATATCAGATGGACTGCCGAGGTACGACTCTCACCAAAGTGGAGGGGAAAAGGAGTGTTTAAGTAGATAGATGAACTGTCACGTGTGATACATTTTTTCCCTAAACAATATATTATCAAAGGTGTGTTAATACTAATTTAATGGTCAAATTAAGAACTGAACTATTGAGAATACCCTGGTACTGTACAATTAAATACTCTAGGTATATTATGCATAAACTACTTAACCTATAATTTTTAGTTTGTTTTTTATCTTACGATGAAATATTTTCCTTCCCTTTGATTTATTTTGGTCACGCACTCATGCTGCATTTGCGCCAAACTGTAGAGCTTTTAGATATTGAAGTTCCATTTTCTTTTCGATCTTAAAAGCCCAAAAACAGGCCTCTCACTAACTGTGTTTTAGACTCTATTGATTTTCCCAAAACAGGCCTCATTGCCTCATTGGGCTTGACATCGACAACCATGACCATGGCAGGATTCTCTTCTGTGGCGGCGGTGAGGCATAACTGCGCTAAGCTCTCGGTGCCCATGGATGGCGCCAAGGCGGTGGCGGTGGCCGCTGGCACCGTCTTCGTCAAAACTACATGGCTGCCCTCCCGCTTCTCCCTCGCCATGACTAACGGTGCTGATGCTGAGGTGCGCCTCCGCGGTGAGTAGTGGACCAACCCATTGTCGAGCACCTCGTCCTTGCCGAGCGCTACCCAGCCTTCCACCAGCCTGATTCCATGTACTCCCATGACACCGTCAAAACAAGCATACATCTTTCTTATCTCACTATATGTAGAAACCAAGTATTGGTGTTATATATGCTACCAGAAATTGTCTACTGGAGCCTCTGTTTACCGTTTGTGCAATTTTCAAGGACATGGCCCGTACAGATGTCTTGCAGTCAAGTCTGAGAATGAACAACGGGTATTAGTTATTAGTATGTACAGTCCACTCTCATTTGTCTCTTGAGTCTCTTGCTTTACATCAAAGACACTTTACTCTAAACACGTTATCATGCACGCGCTCTCCACTGCAAGTTGAGAAGCCAGAAAAGTTCACCGGCGCTGTTGCTGTACTGCAAGAACGAGAAGAACATGGAGTTCGCAAAGCACTGAAGCCAGCTATCAACAAAGATTTCGATGACGGCTTCATTGCAACACGGTGATCGTCCTCCACATCGAAAGAATCAAGATCAAGGACGATCTCCAAACAAAAGTAGGACGGTAACAAGCGCTATCGTCTTTTATCATGTTTTATTTACCTCTACGGTAATGGACGCCGCCGTGTCGTGGCGTCCGAGTGGCAACGGTTAGCGGCACTTGTGTGCCCGTATGTGGCCGCGTGCTCGCCGGCCTCAGGCACCAACGCGAACGCAGCCGCAACCACGGCCAAGGCCGAAATCGGCAGTGCCCGCGCACCCGGTGTGATTGCGGAGACTGCACACGATCTGACCAGAGGCGGCTCCTGGCTCAGTCGTCGGGGGCAGCCAGCCCGAGGCCAGGGCTCATCGGACTCGGCCATTGCGGCTGGCCTGGCAGTCATGGCAGGCCACCCGCGCCAGCGGCCTCGCGCTGCGGCCGGCCTGCCTCCCGGCGGCTCCTCCCGCACACGTGGAGCCGGTCCCGTGCCTGCGGCGGCCGGCAGCCTCTGCGCCCCGTGGCCGGTTCCTTGCGGTCGATGGCCTCTGCGCCTGCAGCGGCCTCGATGCGGCGCTCGCGACCCGACGGAGGCCCCTACGCGGCCGGCCTGCTTCGCAGCGGAGTCTAGAAGCTAGCCTGGCGGTTTCCGTGCCCGTGGCCACCGCGCATTGGTGCCCGCGCCCCCCGAGTGGCCTCCCGTGCTCCTGCTGCGGCCTCACGCCAGCGGCCGGAGGCCAGCCCTGCGGTTGCCGGCCTTCCCATGGCGGCGCCGACGACGACCTGGAAGGCGGCAACCCTCACGGCCGAGAGGCCGAGTTCCCATGAGGAACCGTCCGTGGGTGGATTGGATAAGGTTGTGCATTTCTACACGAACACCCTTGTATTCTATGAATTACATGATAATCCAAATAGATTATTATTAATATATTCCAGAATTATGTTTTAACCATCATTAGGTTTTAACGTAACTGCAACATACTATATATTTACACTCATGTAAATATTCATGAATTATGATGCACAATATTTACCTCATGTAAATAAATATTTTTGGGACTATGCGTCATCAAAAATTGCATCATAATATGTAATGTTACAGATGAGTTTATCATAGTAAATTCATACATTCCAATTCTGGAAGTTTCTAGCTTGTGTTCAAAGTGTTTGCCCAATGGCATTCCCAATAACATGTACTCCTATCGTTACATTGTTCAAGTGTTTGCCCACGGTAATTCTCAGTAACATGTAACTGATGTGTTGAATATAGTATTCAAAGTGTTGTTCCCAATAACAATATATTCCACTTTATTTTCTATGAAATTTATTTTGACCTTTTAATTAAGCCCATTAGCTTATATTCTAAGCTCCAGGTGCTTAATTCATTTTTATGCAAATATTTTATGTGATTATCTCATCATTTGTGTATAATGTTCTGAAACTTTGCATATTGGCCATATATAAGATAGTACCATAGTACTACTGCGGGATTCTACACTGTGTTGTACATTGTGATTATCCTCAACGTGCGTATCCAATATCAAGTTTTAGAACAAATGACCTTCACTTTCACGGTGACTACTTTTGTTCATTTTTCAAAATTGGCCATATACAAGGTAGTACCACAGTGCTACTGTAGGATTTGATCCTCAGTGTGCGTACCCAATTTTGAATATGAACTGCAAAGGGGTCTACATCTACAAGTGATTGCCATAATTCATCATTTGGATTGGCCAGACACAAGCTAGTATCTCAATACTACTGCAGGATCTACACTATGTCCAACACATAGCGACTATCCTCGTGTGGTTGCCCAATCTAAATATGAATTCCACAAGGTTTACACTATTTTGGTGTTTACTTTCAAAGTGATAGTCTCACAGTTTGAGGTCTACACCGTGTTTCTATAAACATAGTGACTACCTCCAAGTTGAATCACCCAATAAGGTCTTTGTCATGTTCCTAACATATGACTACCTTCAAAGTGTGATCAACCTATACTATTAGCATAAACACAAGGTAGTGGGATAACATCTATTGCACATATTTGTAGATTATGCTCCCCTACTACAAGGTCACCAATTTGGTTTGCACCTTCCATGTGTTAATTTGCTAATATATAATTATTGAGACTATATCTTGGCAATGATTACCGTTCACAGTGATAGTAGTGATTTTCTATCGCCTATCCAATATGAGGTAAACACTATATGTGATTCGAGATTCATCTTGACTTCACAATATTTTGCATATGCCAATTCAAGACTCATCTTGAATCTGAAGTTATTTAAGTAACCATTTGCTTAAATAAATAGCAATCTATAGTGCATAATTTGGGGACTCCTTTCTATAATATACAGAGCCTATGTTTTGGCAATGATTTTACATCATCTCATCTATTCCCACAGGAATGGATCCTAAAACATTAGCAGCGACTTTGCCACTTGTCCTTTATAGAATGGCTAGTCGATAATCAAGTATTACTTTGAACCCAAATTTTTGCCTTTCTTGCTATATAATTTACTATCCAAGTAAATTCATAGATGATCAACTCATGGACATGGCTAATATTTTCAATTTTGACTTTTTCCATACTCACATTAGATGGAATTTATTTTCCTAATATGAGCATTGAGATATCACTTTTGACTTTTTCCATACTCGCATTGGATGGATATTGCCACACTTGTGTTTTTTATGCAAGTCCCGCACTTGGATTTTTACAAATCTAAAGTACTCAGAAAGTGACATCCATCTACCTTTTGCAACTCCTTCATTGGGATTTCAACAAAGGATGCAAGATTGTCCAAATCATAAACAAGGGTTCACTCATTTGTTTATCAAGGATCTTTGGTTCATGGCAATTTACAACATAATGGATGCTCATGAATGCGGTCGTCATTTTTCATTTAGAAAAGTGATCATGTGTGACAAATCTCACATTCTTTTCACAAAAATATGATTGTACAATCCATATACACAGAAATGCCAAATCAAATATTTGGCTCAACTATACCTCCAACTCATTGGAGGAAAGTGAGTTCTTTGGAACAGTTTTCAAGTTCACTTCAACAAGCAAATGCTTGCAAAAGTCTCCATATTTTCATTGGAGATATTATTAGCCTAATGTCGTACTACCACATGTAGTATGTTGTCCATTACCAAATAATATCATGTACCTCATATATTCTATATGAGTGCAAATTCTTTTGGATTCTGCCTCGCTCTATATAGAATCATTTTGGATTCAACCAGATGGAAATGAATCTTGTTTAAGTGGACAGTACCGCTAACACAATTATGAGAGATTACGCTCTCTCCATGGGTATTCAATTAATCATGGATATGTCTATGTATTCTGATTCTACAAATACCCTATGATGTTTTCATGTATTCAGTTTCATGGTTTCCAAATGGGGACTAAATACTAAGGAGCGATGATGAAAATCTTCACTCAACTTAGTGCAACATATATGAAAACTATATAATTATGCAAATTCTTTCCATATCATCTGGGGTGTATTATACATACATCAATCCCATAATATGTGTTGCGTACAAAATAATTTTCTCTCTAGATCCCATCAAGATTAGGCACATTTGCCTTGATCATTCTACATCCAGGATGATGAGAAAATTATTATCAATTCTATTGGTCATAACATCAATATGAGCCACTAAATTTCTTGAATAAATTCAAGAACATACATGTGACTCCATTTGCCATTTTATGGACCATAACGATACTATGTAATGCACATTTATGTATCTACAATGTTATCCTAAGTGTGTGCCTTACTCATAAGGTACCGCAAAATTTGCCAAACTTATTGCTCAAATTCTTCAATTTAGAGCAAATGATCCTGTACGTGGGGTCTAATCCATTTATATAGAAATATTTGGTTTTTAGAGACTACATCATTAAGTATCTTATGTTCATACACATAATGGCCCAACTTAATCTCTCACCGAGAGAATCAAGTTTGTTGTTCCATGACCTACAATAGAATTGCAATTTACCAACATCTAGTTGATGGCATGCGGATTTACACAACGCATCATAAATCCAAATACATCAGCTGCAATCATACAGCTCCTTATAGCCAAAACATTTCCCATCTGCGAATCGGTAACATTTTGCACGTACTAATATCACCACCATAGCATACATCAGTGGACATTGGAGGTCTACACGAGGTATCATTATCCGTCACTCAATAATACCTTAGATCTCTACTTGGAGATTCATTCATTGCTCATATGCTGAATATATCTTTGAGGAAGATTTCAGGCATTAGGGGGAGATACTTACCACACATAGAATACCAAGAATCAGAAAGAGAATGTCATTATTGATATTCGATCATCATATCCACATACCAAATAATCTTAATCAACAGTTCAGAATAACTTATATTTGCAACACATTGCAAATTGTCTGCCAAATGCATTTACTTGTCATAAAAGTGTCACCAAATCTGATTCTCGCTTAGTGTGCCAAAAAGAGTGGAGGTACCTAACAAAATCACTCATCTTCTGAATCTGAATAAGAGGGGGAGAAGTATGGCTACATGGGATGTAGCTTCTTGCAAGCATTCTTGGATTAGGGGAGAGAATCCTCCAAGACAGTACATGTAAATCAACATCAAGTTGATAGACATTGTATGGATATTTACTATCCAAAGCCTATGGATGTTTAACATCCAAAAGCCCAGCACAACTTGTGCACAAATTTAGGTGCGGGGTCATTGAAACGCCCTGACTCTGTTATTATGGGAAATGACATGGAGTTTAAAGGGTATAATTTCCACATGCTTAATTGGTTCCATTGAATCAATCATACAAAAGACTACAAATTATCGACATACTCCTCAAAATTGCCATGCACCTTATCTGGATCCAGACCACAAGTCCTAGTCAGAGTGTTCAAACACTCATATTAGGTCAACTAAAGGTGGCAATTAAGGAGAATTGCTTTCACTCAATAGTGAGAAGCCTTTACCTTTGTAATGATTTCTCACAATGCGTTCCCTATGAAAGTATTATGGATTTTTCAAATCCATAGGGTGGTGAAATAGTGAGAGTATTTAGCACATGGTTTCACGTAGAGACGTAGCATAACATACCCATTGGTATGTGTGGAAATTATGTTCCTATATCAATAATTGGCAGATCAAAATTAGTTTGGATAGATTTGGATTATAAGTCTCAATGGACTTTGTATTCTAAATCAAAACACAAATCATAACATACATTTGTGTACAAATCAAGTCACTCTATGACCTGAGATAGTCAAGTTGAATGTGGCAACTGACTAGGTGAGTTCCTTCCACATGATGATATCTCCCATCTTGATGCTTTCATTTGTGTGATCATAGTGAAATCCCAATTGGATTCTATACATCTCATATGACACATATCAAGCAGGTACTCATCGTATAAGATAGAATTTGAGATGTAATATTTGGGTAAAACCAAATTATGCTTAAGTCTATAACTTAAGCACACACATTAGTCTTCTAATATTCAATTGATATTGTCTACCAATATTCAAATAATATTGGACAATCGTACTATCAGCACTAATGGTCATTCAATACCTAAATATGGATCAATATCCATTCAGACCCTAGGATGATAACCTTAGTGCCATAAAGCATTTATGTATCTTGCATATCGCAACAGGCCTGATATTGCATCTACAGATACTTGCTATAGCTTGAAATAGCGCAACTGCTATAACACCGAAAGGTGAGAGTCAAAGAAGATATCCACAGATATCTATATGGCACAAAAGATCTTGATTTATTGTTATATGAATTAAGATA